TTTTTTAATAAGGAATCTTACTCTCTTGCCCGGGCTGGAGTACAGTGGCACCATTTCATCTCACTGCAACCTCCGCTTCCCAGCTTCAAGCGATTCTCCTGCCTCAGCCTCCCGAGAAGCTGGGATTACAGGCCCCTGCCATCACACGCAGCTAATTTTTGTATTTTTAGTAGAGATGAGGTTTCTCCATGTTGGCCAGGCTGGTCTCGAACTCCTGATTTCAAGTGATTTGTCTGCCTGGGCCCCTCAAAGTACTGGTGACCATGAGTCACTGTGCCTGGCCTAAACGTGTTTTTCTTGCAGGGACAGTTGTTCAGTTTAGTGTACCTGCATGGAGACAATTGCTGGAGGGTTCTGTCTGCCCATCTTGCTCCAGCCTTTCCATTTTCAACCAGTAAGAGTAGCCACTGTTTCAGGAAAAAAAAAATCATCTTGTGATCACCCTCTTTTTCCTTACTTTTCCAGTCTATTTAAATACCAAGTGCCATTGTAAAGACATTGCCTTCATGGTTGTGAAGAGATGAAGCAATTAAATTTAGCCTCATGAGCAAAAAGTCCTGGAGTGACAGCATATTAATCATGTGACCCTTAATTTGAGGGAGGTTATTGATTCTGGTCTAATAGCATCTAGATGAAAGTTGAGCCTTCACTGAGCACCATGGCTCACACTTGTAATTCCAGTGCTTTGAGAGGCTGAGGCAGGTGGCCTGTCGACCCTGAGAGTTTGAGACCAGGCTGGGCAACATAGTGAGACCCCATCTCTCCTAAAAATAAACAGATAGCTGGGTGTGGTGGCGCATGCACCTGTAGTCCCAGCTACTCAGGAGGATGAAGTGGGAGGATTACTTGAGCCCAGGAGGTTGAGGCTGCGGTGAACTGTGATCATGTCAGTGCTGCACTCCAGCCTGGGTGACAGAAGGAGACCCTGTCTCAAAACACACACACACACACACACACACACACACGCACACACAACCTTAACAGAAAGAAATACAACAAGGTTACTTTTACACATGGAAGACAGTAAGAGAAATCATGCCCTAGGGAGAGAGGTTGTGTGCGGGTTAAGGAGGAAAGAGAAACAAGTCAGATCTGGTCTACGGGGCACCTTGGACGCAGGGCAGGAGTTGACACTAGCAGGATAGAAAGACATGGAAAAATGGTCTCTCCTTCCTTCTTATGCATAAGGAGGCCTACCTGCTCCTGGGAGTGGCAAGGCCAACAAAGTGAGTGGTAGGAAGTGGCGCTTGAGCCAAGGCCAGTGTGGCACAGAGGTTAAGGAGGTTAAGTGCTCCAGGGTTGCGATTTAGCAGGCTAGGTTTGAAACCTGACTCCTCTGCTTATGGGCTATGTGATCTGAAGCAATTTACCTACCTCTCTGAACCTCAGCTTCTTCCAATAGGAAAGGAAGATCACAATATCTTTCCTATGTAAAGCCCACAGCAAGGTATTCCAAAACTATCATTCTTAGGCCAAGGGAGTGCTTCAAAAGGAAAACAAAACAAAGCTAACACTAACTCTAAGCATTTGTTATATACAGTGATTGCCATGCTAGCTACAATCTGGAAACAACACATCCAATTAATTCAGGAAGTGTCAAAACCATTTACCTATTTGATAAAATATGTTACAGCTGTTCAATATTTTAACAATTAAAAACTATGTAGCAATAGATGTGCTAGGTGACTCTGAAAGAAGAAATAGGAGACATGGTCACTGTGCAGTGGAGTTAGAATCTTTAACAATGTGAACTGTCATAGGATTAACAGTTAAAGTAAGTGGTACATATTAGGAGTGACTTATAAACTTGAGTATGACCTGGTGGCCTGGATAGGTTAAGAAAGAGTTATGGAACAGGACAGATTGAGCTGGGCCTGTAAACTGGATAGAATTTATGTCAAGTATGAAAGCCTAATTCATGTAGAGGATACAGAAGGAAGCTCCATTATGTGGAGAGAGGATACTCAGAGAACAGGCAGGAGACCGGACTGGCTCAAGCAGAGGTTACATGCCAGGACAAAGTCATAAACTCTGGCCAAAGTCATGCCATGCTGAATACTCTGAACTTTATGCCATAAGCCTTTTGAATGAAAGAAAACAACATCTGAAGACAAACTGGAAGCACGGGATACTGCCGAAAAGCAGTCATCCCTCACATGGAGATGTGGGTCTGATACAAGAAATATTTAGAATGCTGTCTGTTTTCTTCTTTTGTTCTAATTCATGTGGTTTTTTTCCCACCCCTTTCCATCTGTTTTTCACATTATTCTCTTTCTGAACTGCCATGGGCTGCCAATTTCTGCTGACCTAGAGCTCTCATCAGTTCCTCCCATTCCCTTAACAGGTGCCTGGCGTCGTCCCCAGGCCTTGCCTCTGGGCCAGGCAGTGTGAAAGGAATCATTTGCTGGGAAGCAGTATGACCAGGACCCAGAAGGAAAAGACCTTTCTCCCTCATTGCTTCTATCAGTCACTGCCCCCACGGCTGGGATGGGGCATGACTTTAAACTACCCAAAACTGAAAGGCAAGGAGGAGTGTGCCTCTGTCACCAGTGTGCCTCAGGTCAGCTCACAGCACTGTCTATACCGCAAGAGGCAATATTTGAAAATGGCTGCTGCAAACCTTACCTTCTCTCAGGACGTGGTGTTGCAGCGAGGGCTGCCCAGCATTCCTTACAGTCAGTACAGCTTTGACCACCTCTACAACACCGATGGCATCATCTACACTCCCCGGATCAGGAAGGCCTGGCCTCAGAAACCTGTTAGCTTCAAGTTCCTGGGTTCCTCAAGTCCCTTAGCAGGAGACACCTCCCCGGCTGTGAAGACAGAAAGCTCTGCCAATCCCAAAAAGAAGCTGAAGAAATCAAAGCCAGCAGGCGCTGTCTGGGAATTACCCCACCCTCTCATCCAGCGTCCCTGCATGTATCCAGATAGTCTAGGTCGGCCGCCTTCTCCAGATGTGAACCTGGAGGACAGAGAAGCCTGGCTTTCACCTCCTGAGAAGGAGGCCAGAGCATGGGAGGACACTGTGCTGGAAAAGCTGAACAAGCGCACAGCCCGATGGATCCAGAACAAGCGTCCTCAAAGGCCTGGGGCATCCCCCAGCAAGTGGCAGAGCTTCCTGCGCCAGCAGTACGACTGGAGTCACATCCGTGACGAGCTTACCTCCTCCAGCGACCTGGAGCTCCTGAAACAGCTGGAGGCAGAAGAGACAGCAGAGTTTGAGGATCAAGGTGTCATCCCACCCCCACAAGAAAAGAAGAAGCCAGAACTGCTACTTCCTGCTTACTACAGGTATACTGACCAGAGCCCCAAGCACACCCTTGATAATCCCTGACTCCCCTTCGGGGACTCCCAGGTGGACTCACACTTCCGATTTTGGAATGCACTCTCCCATCAACCTCATGTTCTCCACCAGCAGCCTGCTCTCTGAGAGCTCTGCAAAGTAGGGTTTCTCAGTCTGCACTGCTGACATTCTGGGTTGGATAATTTTTGTTGGGGGAGCTGCCCTATGCATTATAGGATGCAAGCAGCATCCCTGACTCATACCCACCAGAGCACAACCTCCTAGCTGTGATGACCAAAGATGTGTCAAACACTGCCAAGTGTCTCCAAGAGGGACAAAATCATTCACAGCTGGGATCCACTGCTCTTAAAGGGGTTGGTTCCCAACCTCCAGCAGACTTAGCCATCAGTCTGCTGGTCTAGTTACCATCCAGGTGCTCCCAGAAATGTATCCTTGGTGAAGTGAGGAAGGCAAGAACCTCGTAGCACTGAGTGGTCCTGCCTCACTCTGAATAAGGAACCAGGGTGTCACTGACTCAAAAACTGACTAGCTACAGGACAGAGAACCAGACAACCTGAGAGAAAAAGATGAGTATATGTTTCTCAGATTGCTTCCATCTCATTTATAGCTGGAGGGAAGATGAGCTATTATACTATCCCTGATTCCCAAGAGTGAACTAAAAATAAGTGGAAATCCATTTATTCATTTGTTAGACAAATACAAACTATGTACTTGCTACTTTCCATGTACTCTGCAAAGTGCTGGGAATACAATGTAAAAGCGACAGACATAGACATGCACCTTTAAGGAGCTTACAGCCTGTCCACCAGGTGGATGGACATTAAATAACCACATACAGAATAGACAGAGTGAGATGACGTAGGAGGCGGGTTCCCTCCCCCAAGGCCATGCAGCCTCTAAGGGCACGAATGTTAACAAAGGGTTTTGCTGGAGCACAGCCGCTCTG